CACGTGCACAGACACACTCTGGTAGCTGCGGGTCTGGATTATGAGCCGAGTCTTCGGTCGCCTCCGTTCCTGGCAGGACGTCCGACCTCTGAGCCGCTCGGTTAGAACACAAACGCATTTATAGTCTCACTATCAGCGTGTGAAGGGAAATAAGAGCGAAACGTGAACCAGAACCGGTTCTCAGGAGGTTATTCTACACTGGACCGATGTAAAGCACCGGCAGCAGCTGTGGTCGCCACCATCTAACTGAGATTTAATTCTGCAGCCAGACTTTCTGATGAAATGCTTCATTTATGTAGCATTGCCATGGAATTTAATCATAAAGACAGTAAGATATTTTTTAAAACAAAAAACAAACCAAAAAAACAAACTGTGGAATACTGTCACATTTAAAAACTGTAAACATGGTGAAAATAAAATACATGAAAATCTAAAAAATAAAAATATAGATATTTAATGAGGACATTATTGTGAGTTTTGACTTTTTTTGGTAAAATTATTGTGCGAATTAATACTTTTTCCCACGATTTACATATTTCAGATATCAACCACAATTTAACAAAACAGGGAAAGTCTGTAAAATAACAACAAATTATTAAAATTATTTTAAATAAACAAAAAGAAGTCAGAAGTTTCTTCTGTCAGCGTGATACAGTGAGAATTAAGGAAATCAGAAAACAGAAACAAGAAAAGTTGAGTTTCTTTGATTATTTGTTTTACAAAAAATTTACAAAATCTGGAATCAACACATCTGATATTTTTCCAAGCAGATGTTCAACTCTAGAAAAATAAACGTTGGCTCAGGATTTATATTTTTGTACAACTTTCTATTCTTGTCTCTTCTCTGCCTGCAGTTCTGCTGAATTTCTTTTTTCTTTCTGTTTTTGGCTGATAAACGATGTCATTATTGTGGAATGTTAATTACTCCAAAAGTCATTTTGATTAAATAATGTGATCTTTACCTTAGATTTGGTTAATTTTCCGTACGGAGCCACACGTCACAGATGAGTAGTTTAAGGACCGTCGGAAAGTTTAAGATCTGAGGATTTTTTCTGTTTTTACAGTTTCTGGTTCTGATAAACTTTTTGCTCATTTTTCTAAAAATAGAATCACTTGCATTTCAAACCTGCCGATTGCTTTCTGACGAGTAGTTCAAGGACCGTCGTAAAGTAGATTTTTTTCTATTAATTTCTGTCATTTTGTTGATGTTTGCGTGCACTTCTAATCCACCGACAAGTTTCAAATTTCTTTTCGACATCTTTTACCAACAATTAATTGAGTTCAAGTCTTTTTTTATTATTATTATTAATCCAGCAGCTAATAAAAAAACAAACCAACGTTGGCGCCTCCCAACCTCAGACCCGATGAGAGCGTCTCACGGTTTCGGGTCTCGATGCCTCTCGGGGGAAATCAGAACCTTTTGCCCCCTCAGGCTCTGCAGCAGCATCACAGGACGCGCTCTCACACATGTGGAGGCTCACACGCGTGTGCAGACTCACACCTCCACACACTAAATCAGCATCAGTCGCCTCCACTAATCTCTATTCTCTCCTCACAAACACACACACGGGGATGAGCTTTAATCAGCTATTCTCTTTCAACTGTGTCCTGACGAAAGCAGCTGCAGAATATTAAGGAGCCGTGAGTGTGTTGGTGTGTGTTTTAGTGTGTGTTGGTGTGTGTGTTTTAGTGTGTGTTGGTGTGTGTGTGTTGGTGAATGTGTGTGTTGCAGCAGGAAGAAGGAGCTTCATTGTGACTATTATTATTATTATTATCATCATGTGGCTGATTGCAGACAGAACTCGGATGTTCAGGGTAAAGATGTGGTTTGACAAAAGCAGGGAAACTGAAAGAAGTGGGTCACTGGAGTGCTGCTGCCGTTGTACCTGTCAGCGTCGCGTTAAACACCTCCAGAGCTGCAGCTCGGCGCCGGACGGTCGGAGCCGCCGGAGTCCACGTCGGATCACAGATCAGATCCGGAGCCGCGCCATCGTTTGCAAATTAACTCGATACCGAAAGGAAACTCACACGGTTCTCCAGAAACTACAAATCAGTTCCTCTGATTTAAGGATTCTGGGAGATTTTTCTTTAAATTTTTTTGTGAACTTTATTTAACAGAGTTTGTCGACCTGCACGTGTTCACAGCAACGTGAGCAGAAACCAGCTCGATTATGTGAATATTAATCAGGATTTTGGCTTCAACCGTCGAACCGACGCGATGAAAGCTGCTGGCTTCAGATGAAGCACAACTCCGAAACTCTAAATCAGGTTGTTCAGCACCAGAAAACACGACCTGATATCAAACTGTTCGACCCTCTGAACGCACAAATCCACAGGAAGGAGGTTTTTGACGCCATTTTACAGCCAAAAAACAGAAAAAATCAACACATTTCCAACGATTTATCGGAAAACTTCCCCAAATCTGAGCAAAACTGATGCAGATGTTGTACATTGGCAGGAACGTAGTTTAATTCATGAATGTTTTAATATATATTAATTAAAATCGATTGTCATTTCATCCATAATAATGCAACTTTCATCCGTTGTATGAAAATATTTGTGACTACAAACAGTTTAGTTGTTCAGTTTGAGTCGGCAGCCAGAGCGCTGCACGGTACATCTGAAGCTAAACACGATGTCAAATGTCTATAAAGTCATTTTTTAGCTTTGTAGAAATAGTTTATTTTTTATCGCCTGCTGCAAAATCACTCCAAGCACTCCAACATGAGTGTGAGATTTTTGCAGAAAAGCTAAACACGGCGGTTTGTCCTGCAGCTCTGCTACCTTCAACCGACAAAAAACGCCAACGCGCTGGCGCTGTGATTATTCGGTAGACTTGTTGACCGTCCGGTTTGTCGTCAATCTGCAGCAGCTTCCCTCCGGGTTTGTGATTCCTCCCGCTGGGATCTGAAATGAAAAGCTGGAGCTCCTCTCTGCTGGGACGCCGCCAGCTCCACGGCCAACCAGCTGGTCAGAGCCGTTATTATCTGGGTTTATAATGCGGCGGCGACGCCCGAAAACACCGTCGGCGATTTTGATTAGACGAAGCCAAGCGCCGGCGGCTAAACGAGGCCCGTAATCAGAGCGGACAGCGCCTCCTGGGGGTTCGGCGCGGCGACGGCCGGCGCGGCGGTCCACTCCAAAGTTTGCCTGCAGTAGTTTGAGAAGCAGATTCGTTAAAGCGACTGTCGGGTCGTCGCCAAGTGTGAGCTGGAAACCTTCACAGCAAACCATCCGTCCGATATGAAGCCTTTTACAAGTCGATGGGTTTCTCGGAGCAAAGTGGATTGAAGCTCGGTCCAATAAGACGCAATTGAATCCGAGGGTTTAACGGTGACCGAGCAGACGCAGCACATGATTCCTAATTCACCTGCCGCCATTATAAAAGGTGCACAAGATGAAATAAAACAATGCTGTCAGCAGACCTTCTGACTCCACTTTTATCTTCCTGCTTCATTAAAATAAAACACTCGTATTGTTGTCAAAAAGCTGCCAGAAATGATTCATTCTGCTCCCGAAATAATCGCATCACACCGCGCCGCGTCGTGAAATACAAACTGTCTTTAAATTAAAGTCAGTATTTGGGTTATTCCTGCTTCTTTCTGCTGCTGCTGCTGCTGCTGCTCTGTAAATAACAGAAACCTGCTGCTGCTGCTGCTGCCTCCATCCGTGTAGCAACAGCGCCCCCCAGCAGCCGCCTCCGGAACCGCACGCCCCTCCGCAGTGGGTTTAAGCTGTTTGCTCCTCAAAACGCTGCTTTCATTACACAGCAAAAAGACGTGTGAATGTGTCAGCTCGCAGCTCAGAGGGCTGACTCTGTGTTTTCTGTGCTTCTCAGCCGGTGGACTTTGAGACGAAGCGCTCGTACACCCTGAAGGTGGAGGGGTCCAACCCCCACGTCGACCCCCAGTTCCTGGCCTGGGGGCCCTACAAGGACGAAGCCACCATAAAGGTACCGGGACGAGGAGTGTGTTGATAAGATCGTGTGTGTGTTTTTCTGGTGACCGTGTGCAGCAACGTTTGTGCGTTTGCTCTCAGATCTCGGTGGAGGATGCAGACGAGCCTCCCGTCTTCGTCGCTCCCAGCTACACGTTCGAGGTGGAGGAGAACGCGCCTCAAGGAACCCCGGTGGGTCGAGTTCACGCCAAGGACACCGACGTCGCCAACAACCCCGTCAGGTAACCACATCCGAAGACTGGTGTTAATTCATGACCCTTCAGCTGCACCGAACAGCCAATAAGACTCAGAGGAAATCCACAGAAACACACGTTATGTCTAGAAGACCTGAACAGGATCTGAAACACTCAGCTGCTCACGTTTTATAGAAATATCAACTCAAATGTTCAAGATTTTGCATTCGTTTTCTTAACGGTGAATCTGCACCACCGAAATAATCAACACTCTCGTTTTCACTCACTGTGGTTCATGTTTTTTTTGGAGTCCTGCAGCTCTGTGGAAACAGAAAAACTATAAAAAACGAATTATAGAATAAAAAATTTTTTTTAAAAAAAAACAACTGCTGCATTTTTTTGATTATTTGTTTTTTACAAAAATTCCCAAAAACCTGGAGTCAACATGTAGAAAACGTTTGTCCACAACTAGATTTTCACAGAATATTGTTTGAGTAAACGGTTTATTTTTGGCATTTTTATTTAATCAGACGTGTAGAATAAAGTGATTTGGATGAAACATCACAATTTAAGATTTTTTACACGTTAATTTCAGTTAAGGAGTAAAAATAACAAGATTCTTTCTCTATAAATGGCATAATTTGGTCATTAAAAATAAATTAAATAAACAAGTTGTTCATATTTACCTGCAGCTGTTGGGCTTCAGAGGGTTAAAAGTCAGCGAGTCCTGACTCATGAAGGTCACTAAGTCATAAAAAAGTCCAATAAAATGCTATAAATTATTAAAAGAAAGCAAGAAAGAAAGAAAAGAAAAGAAAATGTGGATTTTTAGATTATTTGTTTCATAAAATCTAAAATATGTTGTAGAAGGTGTGTCTTTATAGATGCACTGCAGATAGTTTACAGCTTATATTTTTAATTGTGCTGGGGATTGCAGAGTTTTTAGTTCTTTGTGTAATATGGTTCGATCCAACACTGTTTTCAGACTTTTTAATTAAGAATATTAGATGCAGAGTGTGACGGATGAGTAGTTCAAGGACCGTAGGAAAACTGAATATCTGAGGATTCTTTCTGGTTGTTTCTACAGGCGACGTGCAGCAGGTTTTAGCATTCAGAAGGTTCAGTGTGTTCCTATAAATGTAAATCTGTGTTAACTTTCTGTGCAGGTACATGATCCCGCGCTACACCGACGTGGAACAGTTCTTCAGCATAAACTCGGAGGACGGAATGATCACCACGACTCGCCCGCTGGACCGAGAGGCTCAGGCCTGGCACAACATCTCGGTGTCGGCCACGGAGATCGGTACGAACCCACAAACACACACACGGTTCTGAATATCACCAAGATTTAAAACAGGAGTAATTATCTGGTCATGATGCTGTTACGAGGCCGTCGGTGCTCGTTTGACTGATTCTGTCCTTTTCTCTGGTTCGCTCTCCTGAAACAATATGAAATAAAGCAGAACGAGTGAAAACACGAGCAAACAAATGGAAAAAGCCCAGATAGCCACCAGGCTGTACATTCGCTGGCACCCGAAGCCCGAACTGTCGTTCTGCGGTGCTGGAATCTCTCCATGACGTCTTATGTACAGACTTTAAGTGGATTCAGGCTGCTGGCTGGTTTTCCTTCGTGGTGGGAGAGAAGTTAACACTTTCACTGTGAGCGTCTGCTGACTTCTGCCTAATTCTTAGTAAACAAATTATATTTTCAGGATCAGCCAGCGGGGATCGACTTTATGCAGATTTCTATACAGTCGAAGCTCTGCGGCGGTTTTATTTCTGTGGAGTGTTTTCACCCAAAGCCGCTGTAGAGTCGGCGCAGGTAACAACAACAACCACGGTTCTGGATTTTACACGCTTTTTCCCACAGACAGTGAATATTCATCACCTCTACTGACATCTAAGCTGCAGTTGGCATCAGACTCCTCAACTCCAAGCAGTTTTTCTACTTTTTTTTTCACTGAGGTTCGTGTTTCTCTGCAACATAAAATCCTGCAGCTCTGTGGAACCAGAAGAACGAAGGAGGAGGAGAACTCAGACGTTTTCTGACACAGAAAAGGAAAAACAGGAAAGAAAAGTCTAATTTCTCTGCAAAAAAAGGTTCAAAAGAATAACTACGAGATGCAATGGCAGCAAAGACAACAAAACAAAACGAGAGAATTAACATAAATACCCTCAAAATGTCCACAAAAAGACACCAAACATCAACTACAAGATGCAAAAAGAAGTTGGAAAAATTAACACACACAACTGCAAAAACTACCAAACCGAGACAGAACCAACAAGAACCACAAAGAGACACTAAATCCCAACTACGAGATGCAAAGACGCAGCAAAGAACATGAAGTCCTGTCAGTAGGACTCAGAACGGCACAAATCAGGAAAACAAAGAAACAAAAGGTCAAGTTTCTCTGTTAAACTACCAGAAAGAGGTTCAGAAGAACAACGACGAGATGAAAGAGACGCAAACCAACACAGGCTAGATGCAAAATGAACCTACATGCAAAAACTACCAAACCAAGAGAGACCTCCAAAAAGAGACAGAACCAACATAAATACACATAAAAAAGACACCAAACATCAACTACAAGATGCAAAAAGAAGTTGGAAAAAACCAACACACACACCTGCAAATGTTACCAGAACCAACAAAACCCACAAAGAGACACTAAATCCCAACTACGAGATGCAAAGACGCAGCGAAGACCATGAAGTCCTGTCAGTAGGACTCAGAACGATGGAAACCAGAAACAAAAGAAAAACTTTTGGGATTATTTAGTTTTACAAAAATGAAAAAAACCCAGAATCAACATGTTGGACGTGTTTCCTGGAACAGAAACAACCTCCCAGCTGCTGTGTTCAGCTGGTTACTGACAGACTTTCATCTGAAGCACCAACAGCAGCTCCGTCGGTTCGTTTCAAGCGTTGGCTTTAACCGAACCTTTGTCAGACAGCTTGAGTTCTTCTGGTTCTGACCCGGTGTGAGCAGGTTTTTTTATGCAGTAAATGTGAGAAGCGACCAGCCGAAGCACCAGTGGAGCCCTTGACTCTCCGGCTGGCTGATCTGAGGAGCAGCAAAGGGGTGAAGCCTCCTGAGCTCCGGCTCCACGAACCCACCGAGGCCCCACCCTGGTATTCTGCGGTCGCAGCAGCAGAGCGCCGCGTGGTTTCCCTGCGGCCTGCGAGACGCCAGACGGACAGATGGAAACGGGCTCGCCGCCCACAAAGCCGAGACCATCGCAGGCTACGCTAACCGCTCACAGAGCCTGGGAAGCTAAATAAACGCTGCTAATGACAGGGCAGCGGAAAAATCTCACCGGCTAGAATTACAAATATGCGACGCAGCACAGCACAGAAACCGTGGTTTTTCTTTTGTGGAGATGAAAAGACAGAAACGTCCCAGTGTTTCTGAGGACTCTGTTTCCTGTATGTGTGGACTTTAGTTGTTTACGCGTCACTCTGCGAGCGTCGCAGTTTAATCTGCAGCTGCACAACTTGACATTTGTCACTCTGGCGTATCAGAGCGGCCGGGCGAGGCTGCGTGGGAGCTGCCAGACTGTTTAACGGCACTTTTTGATGTCTCGGAAATTCGTGTCTGTAATTTTTTTTTTTTTTGCAAATCAAAATAACAAACAGCTGAGTGACTGACAGGCAATCTGGCTGGAAAATATTCAGAGCGAGTTCAGCCGATTAGCATGCAGACGCTCCGGCAATCGCAAACACGATCGGCCACAGATGACATTCAGTGTTTAACGCTGCGGCTTGTGAATGCTGATGATGTTGCAGGAGGCCACCACCAGGACACCAAGGTGCGCGTCAACATCCGAGTCAAAGACATCAACGACAACCCGCCGGAGTTTGCGACCAACAACGAGGTCCTGATGTGCGAGAGCGTCGCCCCGGGGAAGGTACGGTCGGCGTCCGAGCAGGAATCTGTGCGTTTGATGCAAGCGTTTGGTCGGATTTTAATTCTTCTTCTTCTCCTTCGTGCAGGTAATCGAGACGGTGAGCGCCGTGGACAAAGACGAGATGGCTCACCGGCAGCACTTCACCTTCAGCCTGGCGCCGGAAGTCGCCCACAACCACAACTTCTCGCTCAAAGACAACAGAGGTAAAGCTCTTTTTCTGCTCTTTCCGGTTTCATCTGCCTCAGATTAGATCAAAGCGGCGGCAGATGGAGGCTTCCAGCGCCTTGTAGGAAGCAGCAGGTGCTCTGGATCTCAGCACACCGATGCACACGTGTCCTGCGGGCTGTATTAATTGCGGTGGGGTCTCTGTCCGTCTGTACGTATAATCTTAGGAGGCCGGCTGATTGAATTAAGTTTTCTGAGAGCCGGGAGAGACAGAAGAAGAGAGGAACGGGCCACAACATTAAAACCAGTGACAGGTGGAGAGAAGAACATCCTTCATGTGGCTGCACGGCAAAGTTCTGACACCAAACTCAACATCCTGGTGGGTTTTACTGTTGTGGCCGACGGGTGTAAACAGAAAGAAAAGAGCTTTGATCCGGTCAGCAGCGATGACGAGTTTTCAACCCTCCGAACCACAAATAGTTTATTTGTCCTGCTCCTGTCACATGTTTCTTCTCACAAATCAGAAACTAAAGGAAACTGATATTCTTTGATTATTTGCTTTTACAAAAATTTAAAAAAAATAAATAAACTTGGAGTCAGCATCATGTTCCTGAGTGTCCACAGAAGTCGCCCACCCTGGTGTCTCAGGTCTAACATGTGTTATATTCCAAAGGTTTTACTCGTGTTTTTAAAAACAATTCATTGATAATTTTCAGATTTTGACTGTTTTGTTAAATTACACACAGTAATTAGCAAAATCACAGAAAAAACAGGCCAAATAAATAATGTTCACATCAAAAATCTGTATTTTTAGAATGAAATTAGCTAAAAAATATGATTATTTTACCGATAATTGCAGTAAATAACCAGTGAAATCACAAAAACAGGCCAAATAAATAATGTTCACATCAAAAATCTGTATTTTTAGAATCAAATTAGCTAAAAATATGATTATTTTACCGATAATTGCAGCTATTTTTACAGTGTTGACAGTTTTTGAACATATTCTGTTTGTGTTTAATGGATTTTTTGTAGACTTAAACACAGTAACGAGAAAAATCACAGAAAATAAAGTATTAAAAAAATTAATTCAGAAATAAACTGTACATAATGTCCACATCAGAGATCTGTGCTGAGTCACTAAAGGCTTCACAGTTTTGCGTTTTTAGCTTTTTTAATTAATCTGGACCCTGCAGTTCCTTTATTTTTTGGTACATGTTCAAATGAGACACAGAATAAAGAGATTTGAAGCTTAAATTTTGGTCATTTTTCCACATCACAGCTGACTTATTCAAGAACCACCACAAAGTTAAAAACACAACTTTTGCTTTTTCCATTTTTTGGCGAATAAATGATGTGATTTTTGCCATCGTTGTGTTTTTGTTTTGAAGAAAACATGCTTTTCAAACCAACAGGTTGGTTTAAACACACCTCTGCGTATCATCACATGGTGGATTTAAAACAGCGCAGCGAGAAAGTCAGAGCATCAGAGCACCGAATGATCAAAGAATCTGAATTGTGCATTATAAATACAGACTTTTATCTCTCTGGTAACAGGATTAAAGTGATCTGAGGTACAATCATGAGTGGATCCATGCAGAGAAGAAGAATGAGAATGATGTTGGTAGAAACCTGACATCTTTTGGAAAATAAATGAAGAGTAGAACAGAGAACATGAAACAACTGGAGTCCTGAGCATTACATTGAATTACCGCTAAAATTATTACTGCAAAGTTTGTTCTACAGTCAGTCTGTGTAAATTTAATATCGTTTGTTCAACATTTCAGAACTGTTCTTGGCTTCGGCTTGTTTCACTTGAATCGCTCTGCGAAGTGTTTTTAATATAAATGTTAAAGGTTGTTTTCTCGGTGATGAACTCTCTCTGAAACACTGAACATGATCCTTTGTTGGTAATAAAGAGCGTTACATTAGAACAGAGCTGTTTGGATGAGAAGCAAAAGAGACGCAGAGCGACTTGGTCTGTGTTGTAACTACAGCAACGGTGGCTTTTCATACAGTTCCTGCTCAAATAATGAACGGATCCGATATTAAACAGAAAATTAATATCACCACAGTCAAAGGGGAGAGCAGCTCTGTGAAATATCACTTAAATGTCCAATGAGTCTAAAGTATCAGCTCTCAAAAGCTGCATTATGAAGCTGAACAGAACAGTTCCTCTGATGAACAATCAAATACAAAGAC